CAGATTTTGCCCCAAAGACATTTGCTAAACTTTGGCAAATCCAAATTTTGTTTTTCAGAATTTAATGGATTACTGAGAAAGGATACAAAGGCTAGGCCCTTCCTACAGTGGAAAATCTAATTTTAAAAAATTTCTCCTTCCTTCATAAAGTTGTGACTACTGAAAGATTCTACCCCCAATGTAAAAGTAAATTAGAAATAAAATAAATCCATTTTTCACATTGAAAGAAATTTTTCCTGTCTGAGACTATAAAAAATTGGAATGATTTTCCTAAGAATCCCCCAAATATGCAGTCTAAATTTGCGTATTTAGGTAGTTGGTCAAACCTGAAGTCAAAAATGTATTGTATTGTTGTCTCTCTCTTTTTAATTTTAAAGGGGAAAAAAATAAGAATAAAACAGAGCTTCAAACCAGGCTAGTAGGAGAGTAGCAATAATTAATACACTGCATGTTGTTATTTTCACAGCAGTTTCTCAGATTACAAGATAATAGGCATGAAGTATTGTCCAAACAATATAAGCTCAAACCTTTCTTTTCAATGAACTAAGAGAAACTAGCTGTAGTACTAGTCTAACTACCTTGTGTATATATCTCTTTTCCTTTTCCCTTTCTTCCTTTTCCCTTCCCCCATCACAATTGCTCTTTTCTTTTGAACACTTTCTTCCCAATTCACAAAATCTATTGTATATTTTGGATCTTATTTACTCATTCTGTTTCTCACACTAGTGAGACAATACAATGATTACACATGTGGTTATGGCTTATTTCACTTATGAGTATGGTCTCAAATTGCATCCATTTACCTATAAAAGTCTCCAGTTTATCCTTCTTTATGGCTGAGTAGTACTCCATTTTATTTTAAAAAATCACATCTTTTTTACCCATTCTCCAGTTGATGGACATTTGAGTTGTTTCCAAGATTTAACTACTACAATTGTGCTGCTATAAACAGGGATGCACATATATTGCTGTTGTATGATGTTTTTAATTCTTCTGGGAAAATGCCCAGAAGGGGAATAGCTGTGTTGAACAGGACTTCTAATCCTAGTTTTTAAGGGAATCTCCACGCTGATTGCCACAGGGATTGCAGCAGTCTACACTCCCATCAAAAGTGAAGAAGGGTTGCTTTTTCCCCACAGCCCCTCCAGAATTTGTTATTGATTAATTTCTTGTTGATAGCCATTCTTTCTGGAGTGAGATGGAATCTCAGTGTTAACTTGCATTTCTTGAATGACCAATGATGCTGAACATTTTTTTCATGTGTTATTTGCTGTTTGTATTTCATCATCTGAGAAGTGTGTATTCATCTCAGAAGCCCATTTTGGATTGAGTCTTTGAATTTTGGGGGCCTGATTTTTTTTCAACTCTTTGTATGGTCTAGATATAAGTACTTTGTCTGAGGGGCAACCAGCCATAATTTTTTCCCACTCTGTGAGTTGTCTTTTCACTCTGTTGGTGACTTCTTTTGCTGTGCGAAAGCTTTTTAAAGGTTTTGTTTTTGTTTTTTGTTTTTTTTTTTTGTTTTCCGGTACCAGGAATCGAACTCACGACGTTGCGCTTGCCAGGCAGGCGCTGTGCCGCTGAGCTAAATCCCCAGCCCCAGCTTTTTAAAGGTGAGAGTCCATGTGTTGATACTTTGTTGTATTTCCCATACAGTCTGAGTTTTGTTCATGAAATCTCTGCCTACATCTATGTCTTCAAGATTTCTGCCTATTTTCTCTTCCAGTAAATCTAGTGTTTCTGTTTTAAGATTTAGATCTTTGGTCCATTTTGACTCTACTGCATGGTGATAGACATTGGTCTAGTTTTAGTTTTCAGCATGTGGAGAGCCAGTTTTTCCAGCACCATGTATTAAAGAGGCTATCTTTATTCCAGTGAACATGTTTGGCCCCATTGTCAAAGATAAGGTAGCTGAGGGTGTTTTTAGTTGCATCTGTATCTTCCATTCTGTTCCACAGATTCTCAGGTCTGGTTTTGGGGGGTTTGTTTGTTTGTTTGCTTTGCCAGTGCCATGCTGATTTTATCACAGTAGCTTTGTAGTAGAATTTCAGGTCAGGGGTTGTGATGCCCCCTGCCTTGCCTTTGTTGCCCAGAACTGCTTTTTTTATTCTAGGTCTCTTCTGGTTCCAGATGAATTTTAGGAATGTTTTCTCTAGTTCTCTGAGGTATGATAATGGTATTTTGATTGGAATTGCATTAAATCTGTGTAACAGTTTTGGAAGTATGGCCATTTTCACTATGTTGGTTCTTCCTATCCGTGAGCAAGGGATGTCTTTCCATTTTCTAATATCCTTTTCAATCTCCTTTTTCAGAGTACTGAAAATTTCAATGAATAGATCTCCCTTTGTTAGACTGATTCCTAAACATTTCAATTTTTTGGATGCTATTGTGAAGGGTTTGATTTCCCTAATCTCTCTCTCAGTGAGTTCACTGTTTGTGTACAGGAATGCTATTGACTTTTGAGTGTTGACTTTGTATCTAGCTACACTGCTGAATTTGGTTATTAAATCTGGAAGTCTTTTGGTGGAGTTTTTGGGGTCTTTTATGTAGAGTATCGTGTCATCTGCAAATAATGATAATTTAGCTTCTTCCTTTCCTATCCTTATTTCTTTCTCTTGTTTAATTGCTCTGGACAGTGTTTCTAGAACTGGACTGAACAGAAGTGGTGACAGTGGACATCCTTGTCTTGTTTCTGCACTGCCCTTCAAAAAGTTTTCATTTACAGTAAACATGAAGTATATAGGAATAAACCTAATACAATAAATACTTCTAAGGCCTTCTGGAGACTATTATCATTTTTCACTGGAGTTTTATAATGTTTTCCAATGAGGTCTCAAGGCTAGTATTTCCTTTTTCTGATGGGAACATGTCAACAGAATATTTTTGTTGTTTTCCAGTGTCTGGATTCTGAATCTTGGAGAGGTTGATTTGTTGCTGTTGCCATCTTCCCAGAAGCCTCTGAAAGTATTTTTGACGATAACAAGGACTTACAGTCCTTTACCGTGAAGTCGTTAAATAATTTGTTGTTTAAAATGTCAAGAGATTTAAACTGTCCACTTCTGAGACTGAGGTGGCAGCCGAGTTCCTGAATGTGGTAGTGACTCACCTTGACTCCCACCTAGGTGCCAGACTGTAGTGCTCAGCAACTGCAGCAGGGCCCATTTCGGTTTCCCATGGCTGCTGTAACAAATTACCACCAAAATGGTGGCTTAAAACCACACACACTGGGGCTGGGGATTTAGTTCAGCGGCACAGCGCCTCCCTGGCAAGTGCAAGGTTGGGAATTCGATTCCTGGTACAGGAAAAAAAAACAAAACAAAAAAAACCACACACCCTCACTGTCTTACAATTCTGGAGGCGCAAGTCTAAGATCAGTTTCCACAAACCCAAATTCCAGTGGCAGCAAGGCCACACGCCCTCGGAGCTTTGGGGAGGTCTCTTTCCTTGCCTTGTGCAGCTTCTAGAGCTGCCCCCTCCCTGGTTCATGCCCCTTCTCAGCTTCAAGGCCAGTGCTGGCGCCAGCACATCTCTCTGCTTCCTCTGTCACAGCACTTCTCACTCTGCAGTGAGATTTCTCCTGCCCTCGTCTTGTATGCACACTTTCACACTAATCAGGCTGAACAAGATTAAGCATAAGTAAAGGTGTGGAAAAACAAGGGCATTCATGCTCTTGTGGGAATACAAATTGGTGTGAACACTGGAGAAAAACATGGCTGGAACTAGTAAGGTTAATTAACACATTTTTGGGCCAACAACTCCATTTCTAGTTATGAATTCCACAGAAACTCTGATATGTGAGTTCCAGGAGACAAAACTATTTGGGGAAAAGAAAACCTAAATAAATATAGTACATTCATAAAAGGACTGCTGAACTAGCATTCATGTATCTACACAAATAAATATCTAAAGAAGAAAAAAGTAAGGTACACAGCTATACAAAACATATAATTACATTTGTAGAAATTTGGAAAACATGTAAGTCATGTTAGACACTAGATATAAATACACACACATAAAGCCTGAGACGGGCACGGGACTCACAAGCACCGCACTCGGGACGGCGACGTGCTGGGGAGGGGTGATGGGAGCAGAGCCGGGCTGGAGAATGCCACCTGGGATGTTTCGTTTTGTTCTTAAAGATTAAGCAAAATATTTAGATTTAATGAAGTTGGGTAATGGATACAAATATTTGCTATGTGTTAGTTTTGAATGGTAAAAATATTTCACAGTGTTTTGAATTACTTAAGTTTTCAAGTAGAAAACCTTTAGAAGCTGATATTTGCAGAAATAGTGGAAAAGGTAACGTTTGCCCCACACCCTCCATAACACTGACACTTAGCATTATGGGGTTTCCTATGAATCCTGGAGATAATTTCAAAATTGTAAAATGTTTCATGGCTTAGAATAAGATGAAATTCCCCTAGTTCACTTTAAAAAGTAGGATATTACTGCTGAAATGAAGTAAAATATCTGAGATAGTATGTTAGTAAATTAATGCAGAATAAACAACAATCATGAGCAAGATAGGTTCATCCCAGGAACCCATGAGTGGTGTTGAATTAGGAACTATACACATTAAACAGTAAAGACACATTATCATCTCAGTAAATACGCCAGACTATTTAATAATATTAAAACCTCAGCAAAAATATTTAAAAATGTTATCGCCCTCATAAAAGGTATTGATTCATACCAAACATCTCATTTAATGCTGAAACAGTTTAAGGATTTCCACTAAAATAGGATAAGACCAAGAGGCCTACTACAACTACTGTTACATTCACGTTTCAGCAATGCAACAAAAAAAATCAAGAAATAGAAATATTGAACATTCGGTGCTACCAAAATATGCAATATGACTGATGTCCTTGTAAGAAAAAAAAGGCGGGTAACAGGCACACAGGGACGATGCCTCGTGGTGCCAGAGGTGGCGCTGGAGCGCCGCTTTCACAGCCAGAGCTCAGTGAGCCAGAGCAAGGACGGGCGGATTCCGCGCCCACCCCGCGCCCAGGAGCCAGTCCTGCTCCCCTTTAGGTCTGGACTTCTGCCTCCAGCACGCACTCTGGCGCTTGTTGTAGCAGCCCTAGGAAACGAATACGCCGCACAGATTAGTTTTCTATAGCAATGCTATCTCAGTCTTGACACAGTTCTTCCAACCTTGGCACCCTTGAGAGCCGTGGAAATCGCACGTCGTGGCTTGCACTTGGAACATGCCCCACACGCGTGCGCTAACAGGTTGGTGCCAGCCGATGGGCTTCCGGGGAAGTGCCAGGGTGGGAGGGCTCGAACTTCAGTGGGTCGGTCCTCTGATTTGGCCATAATCTGACGGCGTCACCGGGAGGTGGTGGAGCCGTGGGGCGGGACCTGGTGGAAGGAAGTGGGCCGCAAGGTGCCGTGGGGACTACACCCGGTCCTCACCCGCTTCCTCGCTGGCTCTTCCCTCTCTGCGCTTCCTCCAGGCTGCAAGGAGAGCAGGGCCGCCACGCTGTCGCCTGCTCCGTGTTCGGCTTCCCCACCGCCCAGGGACCGGAGCCTCCGAAACCTGCGCCAAAACAAGCCTTTCCTCCTTTAAATTGCTTTTCTCGGGGATTTGGTTACAGTGAAGAAAAGCTGCCTGACAGACCCTGAAGTAAAAGGGACCCAGTTAACCAGGAGCCCTCTGCCACTGCTGAGTTCCTGCCTACACTTTCCTTGCAAAGAGAAGAATTTTGAGTCAGGGCCGTTGACCATGAAAGATCATTGTCACAAGTGATGCTGCTGTTCAGGATTAATTTCCAGCACTGCTTTGATTGAACCAAAACTTGTGCTCACTTCCGATGCTGTCCATCCACTACTGCAGGCCCTTTAGACTTCTCTGAGTCTTTCTCCCCGTCCTTTCTATTTAGGAAGATATTCTCACCCAGAGTCCCGCAACAGGACTAAGCTGTCTGCCTCTGGTGTCATGCTCATGTAAGCCATCGTTTATCACTGGCAAAATACAGCAAAATGCAGCCTCCAGCCTACAATTTCACTCATGATGATAAAATCCAAACTCCTCAGCAGGAGGCCATCCACACCTCCGCCCTATGGGACCTTCCTAAGCCTCCTTCCTGCTCCTTGCCACAGAGCAGCCGTGGTGGCCTGGTTATGGTTCTCCAAAAGTCCGTGATCGCTTCAGAGGTGTGAGTCATTCCCTCACGACAGAGCCCCTTCTCCTCTGTCACTACTGATGAACTCGTATCTAGATTCCTCTCTTTAAACTCAGCCACACCTTTGCATTTCCCTGGAAGCCTCTGCCTCTCTCCGTTCCTGCTGCTTCCACAGCCCCGGCCCCATGCCTCTCTCTCCCTTGGCACTTCTGCGTGTTCACGTGTCTGTCCTTCCAGGAGACCACCAATATGGCGGCAGCCTTCTCCAGCACCATAGTTCAGATCTTCTTTTTTTGTCCTGCTTGTTTTTGTGGGGCTGAGGACTAAACACGTGGCCTTGCATTACTAGGCTTGCACTCTGCCCTGAGCTGCATCCCAGCCACATAATTCAGTGTCTTACACAGAGCAGATGCATCACAAGGAATTTAGTTTTCATCAATCAAATACATAGACAAATTAACATTTCCATGTTCCTTAAAGAAAAGTACAAAGAAGACACTTCAAAGCTATCAAGATTGAACAATATAGTATCAGGGCATTAATAATAATTTAAAAGAACTATATTGCTAGAAATATTGCTCTTCTTCCCCATTCCTTAATTCCCACGCTTTGAGATCTAAAATAACATTATAAAGCAAACACCTTCAGAATGTAAATGACAACTGAGGCAGGAGAATCACAACGAGTTCAAGGCCAGCCTGGGATACATAGTAAGACCCTGTCTCAAAAAAAAACAAACAAGCAAACAAAAAAAAAAAACAAAAACATGCAAAAAAGGGAAGATAAGCTAGTGTTATGTCTTGTGTCTAGATATCCCCTTAAAGGCTCTTGCAGTGCTGGGTGGGGCTTTTTCAGAGGTGGCTGGATCTAGAGTGTGTGACACTGGGATTGATTCATGGAGCAATGTTAGGATTAAAGGCAGTAGGATTAAGTGAGTGCTACCCGCCCTAAGTAGCCCAGAGAAGATATAAAGGAAGAAAAAGCTGCGGTTGTCCTCTGCTTGCTTTCCTGCCTTCTGCCTGCCATGGACTGTTTCTCTTCTGTGACGCCCCTCTGCCATGTCCCCCTACGTTGGAGGTGGCCAATTATGGACTGAAACCTCTGTAAACTGTGAGTTAAATAAACCTTTCCCCCTTAAACTTTGGGTGTCAGGTATTTTATCTCAGCAATGAAAGGAAAAACAACTAAGACTAGGATAGAAAAGATTAAGAAATTTTATTGTAAATGTTTCCACACATCAGTTGCTAGTATAAAATCCAGGAGGAAGGGCTGGACATAAAGCTTAGTGGCACAGTGCCTGCCCGGCAACTGCAAGGTCCTCAGTTCAATTCCTGGTATGAAAAATTTTTTTAAAAATCTAGGAAGTCTAAAAATATCTTATTTTCAAAGAGCTACACTTGTGAAATTTATTGAATAATGTAATATTGCTCCTTCTTGGAGGAATGATGCAAAGGTAGTTTATTGTTATGTGGAACTTCTAACTTGAAGGCACCAAGAAATTCCAAACCTAAGATTTGGAAATGATGAGAGGAGATTAGAGGATTATAAAATTGAAAACAAAGTACAGTGTAACTTGTGGTTCTACTTATAACTATTGTACCTAACCACTGAGACTGACACTTTTCCTCAGTAAGTCTAGTTTTCATTCCCCAGTATCAAAGTGATTGAAATGGCAATAATTAAATCAAAACTGAAAAAACCTAAAAGGTTGTCAATTCCTTCACTAAGCTGAACACACCCCAAATAGTTAGTAAAATATGAAAATTACTTGCATATCTGAAAATTTATACTATCCCAGCCCTTCACAGAGACAGAGAAAGACAGACAAAGAAAGAGACAAAACGATTGATTTTTAGGCCCTAATATAGAGAGCTATATACAACTGTATTATTAAATAAGCAAAAGTATTCAAAAATATAATCCACATAGCCACATTTCTATAAAAATGTTTATATACGTATTTATATATGTATATTAGAAACTTGAAAGACTATTTAAAACTTAACAGTTGTTACCCTGGAGGGTAGAAAGAGGGCCATTCAAAAGGACTTGCCCTCTGTTTATTCCAGGCATGGCAAGGATTTTAGAATTAAAATTATTAATGTTTTACAAAACAATAAAATATTAAATTTTTACTTTGTGGGCTAAATTCTGGGAGAATGGGATGTTACCCCAAGGTACTTACTTTATTTTTGTAAATAATCTTATTGATACATTTTAGATGGGAACTCATTTTTTTTTTTTTTTTGGTTTTTCTCCGGTACCAGGAACCGGGAACTCATTTTAAATCAGCTCTTTCTTTTCCCACAAACTCTGTCCCCATCTGCTCAACCTCCTACAGTCTTTCCATCCCTAGGAATTCTCTGGTCAAGTAAATGTTGAGAAACTTTCTGCTGCTTCTTCCCTTGCAAGGACTCAGCTCTGAGCCTGGGGTCCGTCTGTGGCTGTCTTCCTGCAGGCAGAGACAGCGGACACAGAATTGTTAATTACAAGCCCAAGGCTGACTGAGTTCTTTTTTTTTTCTTTCTTTTTTTTTATTTCTGACTGAGTTCTTCTCACAATGAGATTTGGAATCCCAAGAAAGAACTGGTCTGGAGGATTCCAGGTGGACAACAATGTTATCCAGTTAAAATACTGAGGGCATGGCCCCGCCTCACCTGGCCTGGATGAGGTAGACAATGAAGTAGTTTAACAACTACTTTCCGGCTTGGCTGGCAGAGTGGATCTGGCCAGAGAGGATTCTGAAGCAACAGGAAGAGCATAATACCTGGGGAGCCAGTAAAAAATGATATGGACCTTAAAATAGATGTGGACGTATGAAGTACTTTGGAGCCTTCGGAGGAGCACCCACACTGCGGCAGGGTGACCTTTCCTCCTGGGTCAGTGGAAGGGACGGCCACTCAGAAGTGTGAGAAGTCTTGGGTGCCCTCCCGTTTCCAATGGGTTCTCAAACAGGTGGGATTCTGAGGCTTTTCTGATTTTTGGAATGTCATCCCTTCTTTAAAACCACCTTCTTCAGAAAACTTTCCCTAAATAAATCTAAATGATTTATATGTTATCTGTAGCAATGTAGTAGTTCATTAAACTACATCTTTTCATCATCACCTTACTAGATTGTAAGTGTCTTTAGGGAAAAAATCGTGTTTTGGTTTGTCATATTTTCCACAATACCTAGTGTGAGGCTGAGAATGTCACATGTCGTCAATAAATAATCGGCTGATGGAAAAGTTGAAAGGAAGAAATCGTCAGGCTTCTTGAAGTTTCCTAACTTTCTTCCCAATCTGTAGACAATCTGTAGCTGCGTTCGTTCTCAAAGCAGAGGGCCTCAGCTTCACCCAGACCTGGTATGTTTTCCTGAGCAAGGCTATCCTGAATGCAAATTCAGTCTCAAAGTGCTACAAAGAATGACCAAGAAAACACAGTTCCCTCTGAACCCCCTTGGGTACCAGGCTTTCTGTGTGTGCGTGTGGGTGGGGGCGGTGGTGATGTGGGTGGAGAGGAGAGAGGCTGCAGGCAGTGATTGTGTGGAAGGGATTTGCTGTGTCCCCCTTCTTTGTCCTCTTTCTCCCCGTCCCCTTCTGCATTTGTCTGGGAGGATCCTGGAGTGCTCTTTTGATCGACTCAATCTTTCTCTGGCACTTGAGTTCTGATTGGCTGAAGGACTTGGGGCGAAAAAACTTTAATTAAGTAGATAATCTCCTTTTTGGAGGTTTGGCAGCTCCGTTTCACCTCCCCTTAACTCTGTTTGGGATCGCTTACACACCAGGGAAGTTGGGCTGAGGGGCATTCCATCCCACCGTCCCTGAGGAGAATACTTCCCACCTTCTGTCTCCCAGTTTTTCAGAAGTTTCTCTCTGCGTTACTCAGAAGATTATGTTTCTTATGAAGCCTTCTGTGTTCATCTTTCTTTTCACCTGTGTCTTCCAACTCAGCCACCCCTGGTAAGTAACCCAGTCTCCTACCTGGGACTGGGAATACGTCAGTGAATATTATATGTGGAAAAAGCTCATTTTCATTTCCAGAAATGTAGGAGGCCTTGAGAGCTCTCCTAGGAAAAACTGTCCTATAGAACAGGGCTCCTCCTAAATTGATGGCTGATTTCAGTAAATCTTTAGGACCTTCCCCAATAAAAGGAGTAGAGTAAAAGATGGGAGCGTCTTTTTTATGAATTACTGTGACAAATATTCTAAGTGATTTTTGGAGAAATGGACAGTAGCCCTGTATACCAAATCCTGATATCATTGTGGACAAGAGGAAGTACTTTAAAAGAGGTTCTAATATGTGCTCAAGGTAAAGGCTGGAATAAAATTTGATTTTGCACTTTCCAACTTATCTCCAATTTCTTCAAAATATATTGAGCAGCTATTTATGTTGTCACTTAGTAGACAGTTAAAATGTATTTGAACTACTATATTGGTATTGGATAAACAAACATGCTTGAAATAAAATATTTTAAAAATCCAAGCCTCTACAAATATATTTAATTTGTACAATTTATTTTAAAGTTTTTTTAATGTGCTCAGAAAATAAAACAATGTATGTGAAAGTGTTTTTGCAAACTACGAACCATGGCATAAGCCATAGATAATATTATCCTCCTCATTTAGCTCTTAGAAACTGCACACAGTGTCCCCATACATGCAGCAGATAATGAGCAGGCATACGACAACATCCAGAAGCAACTTGTGAAGAGCATGTTGCTGAGTGTTTGCAGTGCCCCCCAGTTCACATACAAGTTCAGACTCTCACATGAGCTCTCATCTGACCATCTACTTAACCAGCATGCAGATCCAAGTGCTTTGTAAAATGTCCAGGAAGCTGGAATAGAGATTCTTTTGCTGAAATAAGCTTCTGGTGCTAATTGAGAGCATATTTTTATCATAAATGAGACTTGCCATCTGTTTAGAGGGTTAATTTCAACATAATGTCAACCTAGTACACTATCTGCAAGTAAATGCGATAATTTGCAGAAGCATAAAGTAAGGGGTAAATTCTTAAGTGTAATTTTAATTGAACATTTCAACATTGAAAAACTCTCTTCTCTCGCCTTTATGAGAACAAAAAGACAAAAGGGACGGATGATTTCAGAGCATTTCTACTGATGCTCAGGGTATTCTTCAGCTGATTCAGTATCAGCAAAAGAGAAACACGAGATTCCTTTCCCTAGTCACCAGGGCAGTGTGAAGAATTGCTCTATAAAATACCTTTACTGTGTGTTCCCTTCCCTGCTGGAGGGGTCACGTTCACTTCATTCCCGTCCTGACACAGCCCCTCTGAAAGGTGGCTGGGCTGCTTGTCTGTCCAAATTCAAGTGTCTGGATTCAAAAAGAAAGAAGAAAGAGGAGATGTGAAAGAAGTTCTAATTTAGAGACAGGGTCTCAGAGCTCCCTCTTGCCTTGCCTGTGTTGGAGCAGAAAATGTGCAAATTTCCTGTGTATCGCAATTAGATTTTAGTTGCTTTTTCTTGTAAGTCTCAATTTGAATTAAACATTTGTACTTTGTCCAAGATTTTGGTCTTTTGGTAGCATCTGAAATGTGAGTTTTAAATTTAACACTAAGCCTTGGTTATTCTTATAATGAAACAATCAAGGTTTTGCATAAGGTCATCTCCTCTTTGTGCCTGGAGAAAAGTTTGACCAACCACAGCCTTTGAGATGTTGCTCTTAATACTTCATTATCAACCTTTTATGCAAGGACCTCAAAAGCATTTAACCATAGAGAACCACAGTTTCTGCTTGGCTGTTCAGATGTAGGCCTGCCTGAAATTGCTGTCTAAAAGAGTCCAGCAGCAGCAATCTCTGGGCTTGAAAAGGAGTGAATAATAATGACATTTACCCACAATATGTTGTTTTACTGAGCAATTCAGTGTAAGATTAATAATAATTATTATTAATAGAAGAATTTGCCAGTTTCTTAATGGTAGGGCACTTCCAAGAAGGATTATCTTTTGTAACTTGAGAAAAATGCTTTCCTTTGTTTTTCTTAATCTTTATGGCTCCTAAAAAATATGATGGGGGATATGTAAAACAGCCAAGAAGATGGTAATGGTTATAATGTGGCCAGAGATGAACCAATGTGACTTTTCACTTGCAATATGTGTACTGATCTGGAATGGACAGACCTGTATATAATGTTTTCCCTTAAACGTTAAGCCCATTTTACTTGACATAATGTCTTATAATCATTTAGAGGTCTTGCCCAGCTCTCTCTCTCTGTCTCTATCTCTCTGTCTCTGTCTGTCTCTATCTCTGTCTCTGTCTGTCTCTCTCTCCAAATCAGAGAGATGTAATAGGATGTAGAGGTAATCTATGCCTTACTCTTGTTCCCCTTTTCCTTTCCAAAGTACATATTAGTGGTTCAAACAGGGTCAGTTTCTCTTTGGCAGTAGAGCAAAAATTTGTCTGAAATATTTGGATTTTTAAAGCAGTATTTGAAAACCATCATTGTTTGACTGTCAATACTTAAATTTTTAGAGTAAATTTTCTGTGGATAGTAAAAGTTCATTGGATAATAACATGCCAGAGCCCTGATTCGTGCAGGAATTTTTGTCTTTGCTTTTTGCAGTGCTGGGAAAGGAACCCAGAATCTTCTGCATGCTAAGCAAGTGCGGTGCTGCTGCCCCAGCACGGGAGTCAGTTAGTATACGCAGGTCTCTATGCCCATATTCTCTCCCAGCATCGCTTATAGAGAAAACTGTTGCTCTCCATGTATAACTACTACTATTTCCAAATGTATAGAGTGGACAGTAAAATATGAGTTCATTTAAAATTATTGAATTCATAAATTTTTTTTCATGTAAATATTTTCCACAAAGATATTAAAAGAGTAAGTTCAAGCAGGTGAGAGTCCATGAAACTTGTCCCATTTAGTAAAGGATTCTCCTCAAGGAGGTTGTGGTTTCTGAAATTAGGGGAAAAAAAGATGTGAGGAGCTGCTTTGGAGTCTGGAAAGCAGTAGTCTGATGTAAAGGATGCGCTTGCAGAATGACGTCCTGGGTCCATCAGAGGTGCAGAACCTGTGCAAGCCTGGAGACCTGTAGTGGGCCCGACGGGACAGATGAGCAGCAGGCTGCAGCCAGGCGGCCAGCTCAAGACAGGACCAGGGCAGCTCCGGCCCCAGTCTCCATCTTCCTGTCATGCAAGACAATAATGACGATTATTATACTAATTGTTAACAAAACTGATGAGCTTCTGGGAAGTGACAGTTCCCTCAGCTTTACTCATGAAACTGGGTTGTGTGAGTGATACTCAGAGGCACATGGTCACTGCGTGTGTGTGTGTGTGTGTGTGTGTGTGTGTGTGTGTAAAACACTATCACATGCATAGGATCTCCAATTTGTGATGCTGCACAGAAAGAGGGCATGAAAAAGGGACCAGATGCAAAAGAGTTTTAATCCAAACCCTTCCTCTTCCTTGGAGATTACTCTTTTCTTCTTCCCAGCTGGACATGGGTTTAAAGCTGGCTTGTATCAGGTAATACTATTCTACCATGGATTTAAAATAAAATTCCTTTATACAGGGCTCAAAGGACTAGTTTCTATTTCTATCAGAAAAGCCAAAGAGAATTCATATGGCTTAGGGAATGAGGTCAAGACAACCTTTCTTAGGACAAATCCTTATTTTTCTGAAAGTAGATTTTTCTTAATAAGCAATGGACCAGGTCCTTTCCTGGGTGGACAGTTGGGGGAAACTCTGAGCGTGGTTCCCATCATGTGTTCCCCTTGCCTCCCACTGGAAATACACCTAGACTCTGAGGATTCTCAAAAGAAACTTCCACACGCTGTGGACTCTGCAGCCTCATGAGCCAGACTTCTATGGTTTGCTTTTCTCAGTCTGTACTGCAAACCTCATTATTGACAGTGACATTTCTCTGCATGCTTCTTAGGCGAGAGCTTTCTCTAGGCCAAGAGAAAAATCAGACCAGAAGGGGTCATTTAAACTCACCATTATCTGACCAAGTTCACTTTCTAAATAAGTTATGTCCCCAACTTCAGGATCCTCTGGTACCAGCACATGATGAGGCAGTGTTTTGGTGCTCCAAGGAGGTCCATTGCTCAGTCTTTCTGTCCAACTCCGTGGGTAAAATACTTTCTTCTGCGGGCCACATGTAAACCATCTGCATACGGAGGCGTTTCCCTGCCATTCAGAACTGTGGTTTCCCTTTGCTGCCACAAACCTCAGTTCTTTCGCTATGCTCAGCCTGGGAAGGCTCCACTTCCTACCAAGATCCAAGAAGGGAGCGGCACACCAATGGCTTGTCCACATGGCTCCGTCCAGCGCTTCTTCCCTTCATCCAGGGCATCTGTGGGGCCCAGATTAGTATTTCAGGGGTGTTTTGTTTGGCTTTAAATCTTATATTGTGGAAAATGACTCTTTTTTTTTTTTTTTTTTACAAAGATAGAGCAAACAGATGTATAATGACCCCCTTCTCTCGGCTTCAGCCGTTATCAATCCTTGACAGGGCATGGATGAGTGTTTTCAAATGCATTATACCCTTCTCTTAGTTTAAGCCACCCAAACACTGCCATGGCTAGAATGGGAAGACAAGGGACAGGAAAAGGACTCTTCTTGCTGTCTTGAGATCTACGGTGAGGAGCTAGGATGGATCTTGGGAAGTATTTCACAGAATGACTGCCACTGTGGGGGAGGTGAGGGATCAGATTATAAATCAGCCAAGCAGGGTGAGTTATTCGAGTACAGGTTTGAGTGTCTTTCTGTTTTAGCAGTGGCTGGTTAGCAAAGGCAAGAGGGAAACCATTGGATGGAGAGGATAAGGAGAGAATCTTTTACTAATCATTTGGCTTTTGTTCCATTAGGTACTGAGAATGCTGTGAAAAGACCAAAGCCTATTGAGTTTGTTACCTTGAACTGCTCCCCTGAATGTTTTACAGGACAATTCTCAGGGTTACCATGCATACCCACCCCCTGATACAGAAATAAAC